GCCACTTTCCTTGTTCTTAGAGGATAAGAAAACTCTTCCCTTATAAATAGGAGGAGAGGGGCGGCAAAAAGAGAGAAAGAACCTAATAGAGAATTTCGGGCAAAAGAAGAAAAAAAGGTAGGGAAAAATTCGATCGACCTCCAAACAAAAGATGGGCACACGGCTAAGAGAGAAAAATGGGAGAAAATAGTTTTCTCTTAAACCCTAGCAAGAAATTCTCATACCCTCTCCTTTAAAGTTGTTGCAAAGTTATTAGTGATTGATTTCTAGAAGAAATACTTAATCGGAAAAGGTGGAGCTAGCACCCTATCAATTTTGAGTGCTTCTTTGTAGATATTTGGGTCGTGTGGATCATTAATAGAGGCTGAACACTTGGATAACTAATCAACAAAAAGGAATTTAGATCTGCGCTATAAGAGGTAATCCTTTAGTTTTATCTTATTATTCTTGTATATATGATTAGTAGATTCAATGGCATGATCTTGGAGCCCTTAGATGGAGAACAATTTTTATTTATTCCGCACCTCCATAGGATGTATGATCCTTCGAGTAGTAAGGAACTTTCCTAATATATTTCACGACAATTTATCAAGATTACCTCTTAGAAGAAAAATTGATTTAGAGATTGAACTAGAACTAGGTATAACACCCACATCAAAGGTGTCATGTAGAATGCCTCCGGTAGAATTGAAGGAGTTAAAGGTTCAATTATAGGAGTTGCTAGAAAAAAGGCTATATCTAACCTAGTTGTTTTCTTTGGGGAGCACCGATCATTGTTCGTTAAGAAGAAAGATGAGTCACTTTGATTAAACATTGATTCATGAGACTTGAATCGAGTGACCATCAAGAACAAGTATCCACTTTTTTTCATACCGATGATTTGTTTGACTAGTTAAGGGGAAGTTTGATATTCTTCAAGATTGACTTACAATCAAGGTATCGATCAAGGAAGATGAATCGGAAAGATGACCTTTAGAACTCGACATGGCCACTATGAGTTCCTTGTAATGCTATTCGAGTTAAACAATGCACCGGTCATGTTCATGAACTAACCAAGTATTTTATGAGTACTTGGATAATTTGATCATAGTCTTCATTGATGATATCCTTATATATTATAGGATTCATAAGGAACATGTGGAGCATCTAGCTAAGGCATTACAAATCTTACAAAAACACTAATTGTACACTAAGCTTAAAAAGTGTTCATTTTGGCTCAAGGAAGTAGCATTCCTCGACATGTTGTTTCCAAGGAAAAGGATTAGGTTGATGCTAGTAAAATGTAAGTAGTGTAAGAATGGAATTAGCCTAAGAATGTATTAGAAGTGAGGGCCTTTCTTGGCATGGTAAGATATTATCGGGAATTCATGGAAAGATTTTCTAAGATAGTTGCTCAACTAACTAAATTGACAAAGAAGAATGCTAGATTTGAATGGAATGATGGTTATGAAAGGAGTTTTCGGGAGCTAAAGTTTAGGTTAACTATGCATCTATTTTAGTTTTATCAAAGGATGATAAAGACTTCGTAGTTTATGTCAATACATTCGGAGGTGGATTGTGTGCAATTTTGATGCAACATACGAGTCATTACATACACATCTAGACAGTTAAAAGACTATAAGAAGAACTATCCGATCGATGATCCGGAGTTAGTTACTTTAGAGGCACTACTTATATAGGGTCAAATGTGACATCTACATCGATCATAAGAGCCTCTAATACATCTTCACCCGGAAGGAGTTAAACATAAGGCAAAGGAGGTGGCTTGAAGTGTTAAATGATCATGACATTGTTTTTCGGTACCACCTCGATAAAACAAATGTCATGGCGGACGTTTTAAGCTAGAAGACATTGCCAACTATATAGGTCCAAATTGTTAAGGATATGAAAATGTTACAATTGGAGTTTGTGCCAAGAGAAGACTATGATATGATGTTGGATGCAATGAGGTTACAACCCGAAATAAGATATAGGATTAAGGATGATCGGTTATAGGATTCAGATTTGATGAAAGTTCAAAAAGATGTAGTCGAAGAAAAGGTCATAGGGTATGCCATCGATAGCAAAGGAATTTGGTGCTATCAAGGAAGGCTATGTGTTCTCGCCAATAAGGAGCTTCGAGAGGATGTTTTAAGGGAGGCTTATGCTACATCCTATGCCATGCATCTAGGAGGTACTAAATGTACCGAGACTTGAAGAGAAACTATTGGTGGAAAGGGATGAAGTGAGACATTACCGATTTTGTAATAAGATACCTAACATGTTAGCAAGTCAAGATCAAGTATCAAAGGCCATCGGGATTGTTGAGACCCCATAACATACCCTTTGAAAAGAAAATATTATGTCTCAATTATTGTTGAACATTATTATTGTCAAATATTATAGTCCTTTTTTCTTAGGATTTTGATTGCTTAATCCTTTAGTTTTTAGTTTAGATTTGATTTTTTGATTGCATATTGGCATAATAAGCTCAATTACTAATTTAGATTAACCGTTATTGTAAAAAAATTTTCCTTACAAACTTGCAACCTAGCTAGTTTAGGTAGGTCGTAAGCCCTTGCTAAGAGTTTACGGACCAATTGCAATTTATTTAGTTTAGTTTTAAGATAAAACACCATAAAGATCATTAGAATCAATATTAGTACATTTATGATAATTAATTTGGTTCATACACTTACAAGTCCGGAAGATAGACTACCTTACATACCACTATCCAAACATCTTTTTTATTCTTTTGTTTTAAAGTTCTTTTAGTTAAGACTACACAAAAAAACCTAAATAGTTTTTGGCAATCACGGGGCAAGTGTTATTCTAGATGACACCAAATAAAGCAACAAGAGTCCTATCGACTTGGGATAAAGATGACGAAAGTCATCATTCTTTAACAATAATTGCTGCACGAGAAGAGGGGTTATAACCAGCTAGGCCAAAAAAGGTAGTTGATGTCCCTATCCTCTAGTCGGTTGAAATTAGGCAAAGCTAGCTTGAAGCTAGATTTAAAGAAGTTTATAAATTGATAGAAATATTAGGCTTTAACTTAACCGATAGAAAATAAGCACAAATTGAAAATAGAATTGAGAGTAAACCATTACAAAGAGTTAATGTTGGCTACTAACGGAACCACACACATTTTGATAGAATCATGTCAAAGAAAAAGAAAATGTCATAAGAAGAAAATGTCATAATAGGAATAAAGCATGACTTGCATACTTTGCAAATTTTGGAGAGACAAGCTCATATAGGTTGGAACCGAGACCCTAATGGATGTGAGTAACCATTTCGAATGGATAAAGAAAGAAACATAAATTGTGATTTGTGATTTTAATCACACTAGTCTAAAATTATTCACCAACTATCCAAACAAATAGCCTTAGAGGTGGGAAATCGGATGGACAAAAGGAGTTGATCAACGAGTCATAGGGGAAATTCATATAGAATAGCTTATAGTAATTCATATAGAGATGTGGATGGCTTTGGTGGAAAAGGCAATTCACTCTTCGAACCTAAACACCATGTCCACCCAAAACCCATAGTGATAGTGGAAATTGGTAGTTCTAAATAATCCTTTGTAGACCTTAATGATTTCACAAAAGTAAGGAATCATAACTACAGGTTTGCGAATGAAAAGGGTAGGAGGCAAATCACATAAAAAGATGGAGAATGCCTACCCATGATTAAGGGCTAGATTGTCCTCCACCTGTGCAACCCTTACAACCTGATCCTGAATATATCCTAGGTGTTGTAGAGGTGGGATTTTGCCCAAAGAATCCAAGAAATTCGTAAGCCAACTTATAGCCACCCTTATCCAGAATACATTGATAAGGAATATCTTTATCCTTCTATCTTTTGGTTTCCTAATTTCATCTTGTTCAGTGAACAAGGACCTGCCACAATCATAAAGCAGCATATTGCAAGGTTTATTTGTCAATATAGAGAAGCTACATACTGTGATTTCATAAAACTTAGTTTTTTTACAAGGTTTATTTGCTAGTCAAGACTGAATTGGCAAGTGGAGTTTAGTTTTTTCGAATTTACGCTCAAGTATGTTCTTTAAAAGGCTGTCAAAGAGCAGGTCTTGGCCGATTTCCGGAACCCTTGTTGGAAGATTTTCCGATTTAATTTTCTTATTTTCAGTGAAGGAAAAATAATACCAAAGCTAATGAGTTAGCTCAGCATGCGTTTGGTTATAAGAAAGCTTTTCCAGTCAAGGTATTAGCAAGTCCCTCGCTCGATTTACCCTTTGACTACATACAAGATCTTACATATGAAGCTCCAGTAGTTAAAGTCCTATGTCAAGATCACGCAACTAATGGTGAGACCCAACGAAGCCTTTTGGACTTATCCAAAGACTAGAGGATAGAAATTAGAGCTTTCTTTGAAGACCCATCAATCAAAGTTTCAAGAGATTTAAAGCTTTAAAAAAAAAAAAAGGTGTGTTACTAGCTAGCTAGTATCTTGTACAGGAGGCAGAAAACAAGAATTTTGTGATGGTTTTTAGATCCAAAAGAAGCTTTTCTCGTTATTACTGAATTGCATGAAGTAGCTTGTGGCGCACATCAATCTAGAATTACGATGAGATTGATGATCATGAATCACGGATTTCGCTGGCCTAAAATAGCAAGATTGCATGATATATGTAATCGAATGCCTCGCTTGTCGAAAGCATGGGCCAGTACAACATGTTCTATCGGTCGATTCATGCTACTGTCAAACCATCGCCATTTAAACAATGGTAAATGGGTATCATTAGAAAGATCTACCCTCCTTCCTTAAAAGGGGCATTGCTTCATATTAGTTACAACTGATCACTCAGAAACGGTCATCAAATTCTTCAAAGAGAAGATCCTCTTTAGATTTGGTATACCACAATCAACAACCACAGATCAAGGAAAGGAACTATCTTCACGGGAGCAGAGATGCAAGATTTTGTGAAGAAATTTGGTTTCAAGATTGTACACTCTACTCCATACTATGCCTAAGTAAATAGACAAGGCGAAGCTATGAATAAGAATCTGATTCTCAATACATATAATGTGGTGGAATCTAATCCAAGTGCTTGGCATACTCTATTCGAAGAAGTTTTGCGGGTATATCATACCTTTCAGAAGAACGCACTAGGAACTTCTCCATTCACTCTCACATGCGGGTATAACGCTATATGGCCAATAGAGCTAGCAGTTTAATCCTTAAGGCAAGCACAATAAAGTAACATGGATAATCTAGAATATTGATAAAAAAAAAATGGCCAAGTTATAAGACCTTGATGAAATAAGAATGGCTGCCATGGATAATTTGATTACTAAAAAAAAAAAAAAAAAAAAAGGCCAACAGAGCCTATAACAAGAAGGTCAGGAAAAAGTACTATTCTCAAGGAGACCTGGTTTGAAAAATTATTAAAAATGATAGAAAATGGTCACCAAATTGAGAAGGATCGTTCGTGATATCGAAAGTGCTTAGAGGAGGAGCATAATACTTGGTTGACAAAGATCACTATCGTTCTATCAATGGCAAATACTTGAAAAGATATTACCCTTTTTGTTAGAAAATGGGCCATAGTTATCTCAATTCGGTACACTCGTTATAGACAATTTTGAATTGAATTCACTAATTGGATTTGGTATATATTTCTAAAAATAGATATGAGTTATACGTAAATAAATTTTTGATAGTTTAATAAGCTCGTGGAGATCATTAGTGCAGTCCGTACGTGATTGCCCCATCTATTCGAGTGTACCAACCAATCCATCGGTTAAAACGCTTCTACACAATCGTATACTTTAACATTGATATCATAGCGCCAAGTTGGTACCGAGTGATCCCTTACATCAATATGAAAATTTTCTAATTTTTCATGATTTTTTTTTTGATTTTTTTGTTTTAATATGATTTTTCAAAGTTTTTAGAAAAGAAAATTCGTTTTAAATAATCTATTCTTAAAAAAATCACGAAAATTCATCAGAATGCATGTTTAGTGGGTTTAATGACGTATTAAAATTTTAGATTTATTTGATAATAGATGCTTTAAAAAAGTCATTTTCTATTTGAATATTTTAATTTAAATATTTGAAAATATTGCTCGAATCATGAGTTGATTTTTTATTTTATGATAGTTGGTAATCTCTCGCATGTTGTTTATAAATTTTCATAATTTGTAGATCTCGTATATGATTTATTATGATTTTTTTTATGATTCACATACTTTTTTTTCTAAAGTTTGTGGTTAATTAGAAATTTTTTTTATACACATCCACTCTCGGTAATTTTGTGTATATTTCAAACATTACCTTAGAGATATCGGATTTAACAACCAATTGCTCCATTGAAACCAAAAGGTCAATTTTTTATTTTTATGCAAGATTTGGGATTTTTTTTTCTATTTTGGAATGATTTATTATGAATTTTTGAAGTTTTTTAGGTAATTAAATTCATTTTAATAGCTTAAATTATTTAGAAAATTATAAAAATATTTGGGTATTTTAAATCTCTTGATTGAGGATGTAGACTATTTAGATTGATTTTTTTTTTTTTGCATGATTTAGGTAATTATTTGTTAATTATGATCCTAAAAATGTATTTACAAATTCAATATTAGGTTTAAATCCCTTTCAAATACCTGTGCAGTTCTAAAAATTTGAAAAAAATCCAAATATGTTATGGGAATAACTTTTGTATTTTTGATCTTTTTCACAAGATTTTGAAGTTTGGGATCATTTTTCTTAAAATTAATATATCAAACAAAGATGTTAACTATGTTTTAATTACTTTAACTACCCAAAAAAATTTATAATTTTTTTGGGTATATTCTGAACAAAATACATGAGATTATCGACTGTTTAGAATCATTTTTTGGTGTATTCTATTATTTTTTGTGAAATTTAATTTCCAAAATTGGATATTTAATATTATTTAAAAATCCAAATAAATTTAGAAGCAATTTAAAATTTTTTTTTATGACTTGAGAACGAGTCACTTATGTTTGTGGACTATTTAGATTAATTTTTTAGTTTCAAATTCTCATTTGTTTGTATTTATGACCTTATAATTGAATTAGTTTTAATTATATATTAAAGAATTACTTAAAATGGATAAAGGAATATCACATATGTTTTGAGCCTCCGTAATTTATGAGTATTATACTCAAAATTATTGATGCATATGTTCGAAAAAATGTGGATGCAGATCAATCAAAGAATGAAAGTTAGTTATTTCATTATTTATATTGGGCCTATGTCAAAAGGCATTTCTTTTTTTTTTCTTTTTTTTTGTAAATGGACTATGGACTATATTATTTTTTAAATTTTAATTATTTATTTTTAAATGCCCATAAATGTTTTTTTAATTGAAATCTCATTCCATATTTCAATTGATTGAGAACCTAACAAATGTTCTTAGGGAAGCATGATAGGTAAGACAATATTTTTTATGAATAATGAATGATAATTGAATATTAGGCTAACAAGTGTTAATTGAGAACATCATGAACTTTTACATTTGTTTCTAATATTTGACTATCATTATTATATTTATGTGTGCATTTGGAAATATTATAATTGTGCTAAAATATTTGTATCTATGTAGCCCTAATATCTCTTGACATGACGACAACTAAAAATATCATTCGTCGAGCTTAATAAGGACCTATAACTTAATGACAACAATTATGATGTCCGAAGCATGAAAATTCAATATGTTCTTGAAGAGTAAGAAGTGCTGAAGACCTTGAAAAATGTCATGGAAGAGCTTGAAGAAGGCTAACCAACCTAACATAAAAGGGATCGTGAGACTTTTTATGCTTGAAAGCAAAAGAATAAACTTGCTTACATAAAATTGCTAAGTATGATGGTTGATGACATAATGCGATCCTTCAAGAACTAAGAACTTGCTAAGGACATATGAGATTCTATCAAAGAGAAATACAATGCAATTTTAGTGACCAAGTCGTGACAACTCACCATTAAATTTGATACTTCTAAGAAGCATTTGAATAATACCATGAAATAACATTTGAGACCGATGTGAATGTAGTGAGTGAGCTCAAAAGAGCTAGTCATGAATTGATAGATGAACAATAAGTCAAAGCTATCATATACTCTCTTCCCCATAATTATGAGCATATAAAGGTACACTTGACGACAACATGGGCATCAAGAATTTTAATGATGTTATGTGCCATTTAGAGCTAGAAGAGGACCACCTTGAGGAAGATAAGACTGATGCAAAAGACATACGCAGTTGCCTCTAACATTAAAAAGGATTCAAGCTTTAAGCATAAGTGCAAACCATGGTATCATAAGAAAGAGAAGAAACTCGTTATGATGGGCTTAGGATTTACTTTGAATTTTCATGGCATTGGTTATCAATTATTTTTGGATAATATTTTTTATGGTTTCGGTTTTTTTTTTGAAAAAATGGTTTTATTGTTTTGGATGTTATTAATGATAGTAATTTTAAGAATGGTGTTGTTTATTTTTTTGATACATCCACTTCTACCAATGCACATTTGGTCCATATTGGTAAACAAAGGTTAGATCGATTAGCTAAAGAAAGTTTCTTAGGCTTGTTTGATAAAGTAGAGTTGAATGTTTATGAACATTGTCTAGTTGGGAAGATGAATAGAAAACCAATTGGTAAAGGACTAGAGTAGAATTTCCATTGCAACTAATACATTCGGACAATTATGGTCCAATGAATGTAAAGGCAAGGCATAAGGAAAATTATTTCATCATATTTATTGAGGATCATACTCATTTTGGTCATTTGTATTTAATAGCTCATAAATATAATTTGTTGGATTGTTTAATAAGGTTTTCAAACCTTATTGAGAATCAATTAGACCAAAAGATCCAGGTTTTGATAACTCGAAAAATATTTGTCCGATCAATTCGAGCATTTATGTGATGAAAGAGGGATAGCAAGACCATTCACTCGTTCATAGCACACCACAATAGAATGGTATAGCTGAAAGAAAAAATGGAGTTCTTCTTGATATGGTTAGGTCTATAATGATCCAAGCCAATTTGTCTATTTCTTTTTAGAGTAATTCTATTTTAACCACTACCTATATTTTAAATCACGTGTCCATAAGATTTCTTTCCTCCACTCCATATGAGTTATGGATGGTCAAAAGCTCAATTTGAGTAACATAAAGCCATATAAATATACAACTTACGTGCTTAACACATCTTATAAGCATGGAAAACTAGGCTCAAGGGGCAAGAAATGTACTTTTATTTGTTACTTAGACCATTCAAAGCATTATGTGTTCATTGGACAACACGAAGATGGAGGGTACACGGAATTTGAATATAAGGATGTTGTATTCCTTGAGGACCAGTTCGCTAACAAAGGAGAAACAAATGGTGACTTGTCTTTTTTTGAGATAGTGGATCATGATGACCCAATCCCACCATTGGATAGCACATCTTTAGCTCGACTAGGACCATTTGATCCGAATGGGAGCAATTAGATAGACAATGAGTTTATTTCTCAAGATTAAAGAGAAGTACTTGTGAAAATATTTCCCGATGTCATTTTGGCGATGTTTAAGCGAGAAGTTTCTTAGTTGCCCCACTATAAGATAATGAACTTAGCAATTTCAATAAATTCTTATCCTCTCTTGAAAAGGAACATTGGCTTAACGTAATGGAAAAAGAAATAGAGTCCACCAAATAATATTTGAGACTTAGTTGATCTCCTATAGGACAAAAGGCCATTAGGAATAAGTGGGTGCTCAAAATCAAACACAAGGTTGATGGTAACATTGGACAACACAAAACCCGACTTATAGCTAATGAAGGATCATGCATCCTATACGAGTGTGAAAGAAATAAAAATTTATTCCATCTAAGGACTTAAGATCAAGCCGTTGAATCTATTAACCATACATGCATGAATTTAAAGCAACGAATAAAGAATTACCTTTTGTAGTGCAAATCTAAATTCTTGTAACGGAAAAGTCGTCCAAATGTCTAGCCTCTATTGATGATCCATGCGTTCCAAGTACACACAAAGAAGCACTCACAATTAATAGGGTGCTAGCTCCACCTTTTCTAATTTGTGTAGTGTTTCCTATAACAATCAATTCCGAGCAATTCTATGATAATCTTAAAGGAGAAAGAAAGAGTATGGCATGCTAAGGCTTTTGGGAAAACTATTTTTTCTCTTTTTTTTTTTTCAGCCATGTGCCCTAGTGGCATTTTAATTTTGGTCGAAAATCCCTTTTCTTTCTTTTTCTTTTGTTTTCTTTTTATCTCCTTGTATATGTCTCTATATATATATATGTCCCACCTCTTCTCTACTATATATTTATAGGAGAGTTTCCTTGTCCTCCAAGGACAAGGAGAGGAGCGATAATGAGTCTTTTAAGGACTCTAAGTTGTTTCTTCCTTATCATCCAAGGATTAGGAGTATTTTACATGTAGAATTTTTGATTTTTATATTTAAAACATTCATCCTTATGCAATAAGATTGATGTTTATCCTCGCATCAAAATATCTTAAGGCTTTTAATTAAAACCTAATGGGCTAAAATCATTCTAGCCCAATTAATTTATTTAGACTATTCAAATAAATAATCTTAGATTATTTTAGGGGGTCCATATTAGGAAATAATTTTTCAAAATACCCTTTAACCTAAATTAATAAATTCATTTCCATTTTAGGTTATTTATTTTCAAATTTGGAACCAACTTTCAAATTAAGAAACCGATTTCTAAAATAAAAAATTTTCCATTTTAGGAAACTTCCTAATTAAGGAAACTTTTCATTTTTGGAACTTTCCATTTTTTGGAAACCCTTTTCAAATAAGAAACTT